AAAGACATATTTATTTTAAACCTTTTAGYTTGAACTCTTAGTTTGTTTTATTTTTATTAGATGTATATAAGTCATATATACACTTTTATCATTTATAATGCATTGTATTTAAAAGCGCCATTGAACTTTAGGAATTTGGCGCTATATAAATGATTTATTCTATTATTCTATTAAATGTAACACCTCAGCTGCTTGACAAACTGAAAGTAACTATTTTTCTAGGTGCACATCATCGCAAAGGATCTACGACGGTCCAACAGGTCGTCAAAGTAAAGAAAATATTTAAACACACAGGGTTCTTGCTSTACCACTACAAAGATGACATTGCCCTTCTTCAACTTGAACATCCAGTAAAGCTAAGTTCAAAGGTCAATCTGGCTTGTTTACCGACAGAAGAGGCTCGAGTTGGTGATCAATGTTTTGTTTCAGGTTAGATGATTTCTGGAGTAAGAACAATGTATGTGGGAGGCATCAAGATACCTACGAAACAACTTTACGCCCTAGGCTAGCCAAATTACGCGCTGCTTGATTTTCAATTGTTTTTGTATAAAAGTATAGCTTTTCTGAAAGCTAGATAAACGTAGTTTTGACAATATAATTCAATTTGCTTTGTTTTGGATCATGTTTGGGTTCAATGAAGTGACGCAAAAATTCCCTTTAAACGTTTGAGCTCATTAGGATTACATCGAACCCAACCGGCTTAATTTTTATATAATGAAAGTAACAAAAAGATAAAACTTGATAACGATTTTCCATTTCATTTCAGGATGGGGCCGTCTTCATGAAACTGGTGCAGTTCCTGACATCCTCCAGCAGGCTGTGGCTCCAATTGCATCACATGCAGATTGTAAAAAGCAATATAAAACAGGAATATACCGCTACACTCACCTTTGTGCTGGACAGGCACAGTCCAGTGGAGCTAGTGCCTGCCAGGGAGATAGCGGTGGTCCTCTGGTCTGTAAGGTTAACGGTAGATGGTTCTTGCATGGTATAGTCAGTTTTAGTGCCAGTGGATGTCTTCCTACACACTATACAGTATACACAAGGGTTAGCTCTTATATCAAGTGGATATTTGATAGAATTGGAGGTATGGAATATGATTATACAATGCTCGAATATAATAATCATTATTTTCACAATAATATACATTTTATTTTCTTAATAAAAGCTATGTTATATATATGACTCCCCTTCAGTCTTTCTCTATGGAACCGTCAAGACAAAAATTAAATATTCAGATTCCTGCGCAAGATTTCGGACATCGTGAACTAGATATATCACATACAAGGTAGATGCAAATAAAGATTTACACAGTTAAACGCCTTTATAGTTTAGCCTTCATAATCTTGCTCAGATTTCCGCAATAAAGTATCTAGACGAATGGAGAACTGGACGGCTCAAAACTAACGTTCGGGCAGGTTTATTGGTTTGGTTTAACTTGGACCTGCTTTTATCTGGGAGTAGAAATGTTTGATGGATATACCCTGTGCAGATTTTGTAGTGGGCTAGTGGGCTGAAATCTGGTTTAGAACTTGTGGCTTAGACATAAACTCGAGTAATCTATCAGTTTACGCTATTACGCTTGCTTTTTAATTATGTGGTTTTTTACACGTCTCTGCAATCAGGCAATCCTCCTACCAAGCTCCCAGCATTAACAACGAATAAACCAACATCTATCGCACAGTCTACAAATCCACCAGTACAACCTTCCACTCGTCCTGAGCCAACACAAAGTCCTACCACTGGCCCTGAGCCAACACAAAGTCCTACTAGTAAGTGCATGCAAAGATAGGTTAAATTAATATATTTTGATAAGCTGTGTTCTTTGCCTTTAGGCTCGTTTTTGATGATAAAAGTATAAGAATTTGATGTACGAAAATTAAACTGCCTTTTATGAATATCCCTCCACTGTTCCTAGGCTGGTTGCATGAGCAATTTTAGTATGACGTCAAAGCGAGGCTGACAAAGGTTGACGGGTTGTAAAATTGCTTCAAAGCGGAATTTCTAAAATCGCCAAATATAATTTTTTTATCATGATCAATCTGATTATTTGGGAATATTGACCTCTAATTTATTATTTTAATATTTTTACAGCTTGCAAAGACAAGGCAAGCAATTGCCAAGGACTTCAAAATATTTGCCACACGCCATTCATGAAGCGATTCTGTGCTCGAACGTGTAAGGCTTGCTAGAAGAGAGACCAAAACGCCCGACACCTTAACCAGATCTTTATCAAGAATTTTACTGTTTGCTCTGTCCTGATTTTGTAAAATTTAGTATCTTTTTCAAAACCAAGATAAAAGCAAAAATAAAGTTCATCAATTATTTCACAAACGTATAATTGCTTTACTTAAAGAGGCTGGGAAGTGTTTTGTGCCTTCACATACACTCACAATTATGAACTAAAACAAATTATATGGCTATAATATGACAGCAAGTAAACCAGAGCCGAAAACCATAGACCAAAGATCACAATGAACATGAACAAATGACGTACGATGTTACTATGACAACATCAGAACCCTTCTTATGCCATCAAAGATGTACATTATTTAAAAAATAATAACTCAGGAACCAAACGGTGAATTTTTTTTGACCCAAGGGTGCGCCCCCCCCCCCCCCAAAACATTTTAAGCCTGCTTCCCCTCTCATCTTCAACTTTAGCCTCCTTCGCAGATGTCTTCAGGCCAAACTTCGGTTTCACATAAGCCGTAAGAAACCGTATTTTCGGCCATATAGGAAAATGTAGAATCATACATATCATATACATTAGGAAGACAATTTTCGATTTTTTTCCTGACTGATCCACATGTGAGCACATTAAACTAAATAACTAGTACATAACGTGCAGTTAGCTGATATTCTTGTGTTACGATCCCAGCAATATTTCTGCATAGGAGGTTGCTTCAAAAAAAGATGCATGAGTTTTCTTTATGTAGCAACAACATAGCAACATGCATAAAGTACAACTGAACTGACGGCACTGAACTTTCTAACGACTCATGATAAAAATTCAAGATAAAAAATTTATATAAGTCTTGAAAACGTTTTTTGCTACTGTTTGGAATTGAATTTATATTAAAGACGTTTCTGTCGACACTGCAACCTAATGATAAATTTGATATGATTTGAAATGTAAGCAGCTATATTTTCATGATAATTTTAATACTTCAAGAGAGAAGTACTTTTTATTCATTTTTTTATTATTTTACTTTATCATAACCTAAAGTTAAGGATTTTAAATCGAAATTTATAAGTAATCATCACAATTAACCTTAGATATTCTGAGAAGTAATACATTTTCTTGATATTTTGTTATTGCATCATTGTTAAAAATAGTGACAATAACATGATTTATTACATAATTAACAAGACAGAATTAAAAAAAAGTAGGGAAAAAAAAAAAAAAAAAAAAAAAAAAAAAAAAAAAAAAAAAAAAAAAAAAGAAAATAGAAAAGATAATAATAATTACGATTACCGAGATTATTGTTTCCCTGGAGCCTTGACTCGAAATGTTTTGTGTTTGACCATTCTACTAGAACATCAAAAGTTGGTTATTTCTGTTTTCAGTTTAAAAAACAACCCGACCAAACACAACCTCCTTTGCCTTTCAAAACGAACCCGGTATATTGAAGATAATGAAGTGCCTTTTACTTTAACGGGAAAACTTGTAATATGTTATAACCTAAGGACATTTTCGAGTATAATCAGAGATTCTTGAATGTGAAATGTTAACATTTCCATGACAATAGCATCCAAGTGTACGTCATACTTGAAGTATAAAGAGTCTCCTTCACTCCGATGAAGTGATGTAAAGTGCATCAGACGAGTGGTCATGTCCGCGCAGTTTCTTTTCAAACGAAATGCGGCTTCGATGATTTAAGGTTATAGAATGTTTAAGATGCTCCTGTATAATGTACTGCTTATATCGGGGGCTTTAATGATCAAAATTGCAGCTTATGATGACAAAAAGCTGAACTGTTCTATCAGCCATTCCATTGGAACTTTAATCACAAAACCAGATATAACACTAAAACGACACCAAAGGGAGATTTTACGCTATCAAAGTTTTGCCCAGTGCAGTCTAAGATGTCTACAAAAAGACTGGTGCATATCGATCAATTTTGAAGCAACTGAAAGCAAGGGGCTTTGTGAGTTGAATGACTATGGAGTCGAAAGTGAGTTTTATGTATCGGAGAACAAAGAGGAATTCGAGGTTCACAAAGGATTTGTGTACAGTCAGTTGAGACCGCCACAGGTAAGCTCTCTGTTGTATGGCAAATTTGATACACTATTCTCTCTGTGTTTTACATTTTTGCTGTTGCTTTTTAAAAATAATACTTTCAGCTTTGGCTGCTAAATCACAGCGTGGGACAATCATAAACGGTACCCCAAATTCCATATTCCATAGGTAAAAGTCCAAAGATCTAATTGGAGTTGAATGGAGAATACAGATAAAAATCCCTCGAATACGGGAGAGGATTAACAAGCAACGTTACTCACATACGACGCCGAGTGCGGGAATTAAACCCGGCTTGCATTGGTGATAGGCGGCGCATTAGCATAGCACAACATATTTTCTCCCGACGAATTTTTTATCTAGTTTTTGCTTGCTTTTATTTTTTACTTTTTGATAGTCCCGTTAATTATATTTATGTAGCAAAGGAATTACAACATTTTTGTATTAAGAATCCTTTTCGTTGTAATTATTGTATCTTCAATATATATAATTGTTTAAGCTTTTTTTTACTATATATATATATATATATATATATCAAAACTGAAAAGCTTAAAAAATTCAAAATAGATCAAATGCTCCTAAAGTAAATCTATATTGTCGTAGTTTATTTTACCTTTCAATTGTTGATGATTGTTTATTTAGCATAACGGCCCGTTTGCCCGATCAAGCACATTCCCCATTGCAAGTATTTTATCTCATCTTAACAAGATTTTTCTGATTATTTCGTGTTACTAAAGTCTAGTAGCAGTCCTGATATAAAATAATTTCCCAAAGATTTTTACAATTTCTGCAGCCTCGAAAGTATTTTATCTGATGTTTACGAGACTATTCAAAACAATTTTTAACATTTTGATAACTAGGCTAAAAATTGACAATTGATAAATCATTTTTTATAGTTTGGTTGTCATAACAACCCATGTAGTAACGGTGGAACGTGTATCGTTGACTGCAAGGATTCGCAAAAAACACATTGTATTTGTCCAAAAGGGTTTATTGGAGGTCGTTGTAATGGTGAGTAGATTCATAAACCATTCTTTATGTAATGAATCATGAATTATTATTCATGCCAAATTTGTCATGAAAAAAGGGACAGGAGATAGTAGACAAGTACCATTCAATACTGGACACTAATAAAATGAATAACAATTTTGAAGGGAAAAAAATGAGAGAAGAGAAAAAGAAAATTGCAATAGTACAAAACGAAAACTAAAAATCTATACACATGTGTTTATTTAGTTCAGTTTCGCATTTTAATATATATATTTTGATATATTTTTAAAGAAATCAACGAATGTGTGAGCAACCCTTGTCAGAATGAAGGCACTTGTAATGACAAGGACAATGGATATACGTGCACCTGCGCCGCTGGCTTTAATGGAACACACTGCGAACATGGTGGGTGGTTAATACTCGTTAAGTTGGAATGAAAATGCAAAATCCTTGGGGACATTTTGAATGTAGCCGAATGCAGTCTTTAAATAGCGTTTTTCATGATTGCTTAAAATAGATATCGCAATGCCTTGTGGGATCTATATGCATTGGCAAAGGCATGGTTACTTGTACTTTTTTTAATGAAAATTGTAAATGACAAAACAATAGAAAAGTGTTGCGGCATATTTGCGTTGGGCTTGGCTTCAATCCCATGATGCGCAATCGTGAGGTCATCCTTGAAAAAGCTGTTTTCAGTTTATATGCTAATTAGTTGCAACCACTGGTGCCGAGTTTATCATGACATTATACATCCACTAGGGGTTGGTTGGGGATTGGAGACTGATACACGTACACGCTGACTGTACACAAGTACAATAAACGAGAATTATTTCAAAATTGCGGGAGGCGGAGTGCAGCATGAAAACAGTATGCAGTCATAAAGCGCTTGATGATTGGCAGAACACGAGAAAAGTGTTAGAAAAAGAACGACGCGTAACGGAGTGCCTTTTATCTCTTCCCATCTGTTCTTCCAATCCTCAAGTGCCTTACTTCACACAGCACAGGAAGCAAGTTTTTTATTGCTTTTTATAAAACACTAAGTAGAGTATCCATTATTTTGTATACGATTTAAGAAATAAAAAGCGCGCGCGCCTGATGTGTGCTCTCACAAATAAAGTCCTCCCATCCAATCAGAACGCGAAATTCATAACAGATGTTTTATAACTGTAAACACAAAACACGAACTTTAACTGACTAAACCTTTTTTATTTAGTTCTAAATACAGTGCGATATACGATTTTAACGTTTTTGACAACGATAATGATAAATCAAACCTGCATGAGCAAATATGGGAATACAGTAAAAACCCGGTTTAGATTACAGTGTTACCTGTAGTAGTCTCCCTCGCATCCGTTTTTGGTGTCGGTCGTCAAGCAACGCTCCCTCCCCACAAACGGCTGCTTACATTCGAACTACATTCCTTTCTCATTGTTTGGCCAATCACAAGACGGGTTACATATTTTGAGAACCGTTCGCGGACTTTTGATCTAACCAATCACCGTGCAGCTTTTATTTCGCATTCTCAACTCGTTCATAGAAGAAGTGTACATGTGGCCTCGTGTCTTCAAAGTTCGGTATTCGATTCCTGATCTAAATGCGCATCAGAAGTCGGCTATCAAAACTTTAGTCGAAGAGAAAAAAGATATTTTTGTCAATCTTCCAACAGGGTTTGGCAAATCTCTAATTTACCAAGCTCTGCCTCTCATATTTGACTACAAATATACACTAGAGTCTGGTCACATCGTTGGTTGTTGTGTCTCCTTTAATTGAGACCTTTACGTCCGACGACGAGTACGAAAACGGGTCCGAGTTAAAGCTTTTAAAGATTGGCACTATCTCTTTGTAGTCTTGATCGTGTATAAAATAGATTGAAACTTTAGATTGTAAAAAAATCGGAAATCGACTACGATATCGATYTAGCGTTACTCGTACTCGTACTCGTCGACGTATCTAAAGGTCGCTAATACGTCTAATGGATGACCAAGTCTCAAAGTTACGTAGTTTAGGAGTTAGTGCTGTGAAGATATGCTCACTAGAAGAGGAAGAACGGYGTGAAGTCGAAAGCGGCGAATATTCCGCACCGATTGCTTTCGAGGATGTTCTTCGGCAGCTCGATTGAAACTCASCATGTTTATACTTTCGGACACTGTGATTGGCTCAATAGGAAACAATACGCTCGAACTCATTGCTACGATCCAAACAATGAGAAAGGAATGTAGTTCAAATGCAAGCAGCCGTTTGTGGGGAGGGAGCGTTGCGTGACGACCGACACTAAAAAGCAGACTCCATGTCTGACCTGACAATATTTATTTTTCTACTGTTTTGATACAGTTATTATAGCAGTCAAGATTTTTCAAAATAACATTTTTGAACTTACACATTGATATCACCTACATGTATTG